AGCTGCATGATACCAAGCTATTTTCTTTTAAAAACAGATCTAATAAGGGGAAAACCTGATCAAATGCTCCATAACTCTCCCATTTAGTTGTTATCAGATCTGTCTTCTGAGAGACTGTACAGGAGAAGGCAATTAATCTCTAATTTTTTTTAGTTTTTAATAGAAGCCAGTTGATCAGAACTGGAGGTGAGCTCCCCTTTCAAACTGATTAATTTTTACTTAGATTGTTTACTAAAGATCTTTTGTTAAAAGACAAGGCATTCTCAGCCTGCTTGACACTGAAGGCAGGAAACTGCTGAATAGCTCAGCGATTTAGGCGTCTGGCTGCAGAGCCAGAGGCCAGGAGTTTGATTCCCCACTGTCCCTCCCAGACAGGGGCTGGACTCGATGATCCATAGGGTCCCTTCCAGCTCTGTTCTAAGATGAGGATGAGGATGGAAGAGCATGCAGTAGATGAAGGTTTAATTTCTTAATCTAAAGGCAAAGGAGACACTCAAATCACTGTCAAAGGGAAGTAAATGGGGGTGGGGTGGGGGACAGTGAAGGACAGAGATGTTTTTGCCCTGCAACCCATCAGCTAGCCCATTGCCTGGGGTACAGTGCAGGAGGTTGTTCTGTCTCTATGACTGAAGTAAAATTCAGGTGTCCATCTGGTCAACTTCTGTATATAGAACTAGAAGGGCGGGAAGGAAATGGCAACTTGCTTAGCTTTGGCTGGATCATGCCTATTTTTTTCTTTTGTATTTTTTTAAATTAGCTTTATAGATTATGCAACCAAAATGAGCTATACAGCCCAAATTAACTTCAGCCTGGATAAACAGCACTATAACACTAAGTACTATAGGACAGCTATCTTATATGTTATGTTATCTCCTGTCAAGTTGGAACCAATTAGCATTGATCCCCACCTCTCTCTGTTGCAACATGGTGATGATTATCTTGGCCCTCCTTCATAGACTCAATGCATACACAACTTTTTAAACTTGTGAGGCATTTGGGGGACTGCCCTCTTACTCAAGACCCACAGCTGTAGGCTATTGGGGGGGGGAGGTAGGAAAGGGGAAGCAAAGGAAGGCAAGAAGTGGATTCTTTGACAGCTTTAAAGTTTAACAGAACCATGAGCTATGGAGGAATTACTACAGAACAAAGCTCATTCACGCATAATTCTCTGGCATTCCTTATTCTCTGGAATTTTGTCTTCCTGTTGTGTGTGAACAGTCATTATTTCAACAATCTCTCTCTTGCTTTCTTTCTTTTTGGTAAGCCAGTATGCTCAGTTCGATGCTACAGATACTGGACAGGAACTGGAGGGGAAAAAGCAGATTGGCCTGGTTTGAATTAATTGGGTTTGTATGATTACACATGCATTCACTAGTAAGCAAGCCCCTTATGTCCCATTTCCATGTGGATTTTTGAAGAAATCATTTTTTTAACCTTCTGAAGTTATTCATGAAAAAGTATGCCTGTTTATTTATTTGTTTGTTTGTTAACAGATATCGGCCTTCTGAAGGCACTAGCACCTGCAATGCGTTTTGAAATCCAGCTACAATTTTCCTTGGAAAGGAAAGGACATAATAAAGTGTTCCTCCTCTCATGGAAGCTTGGGGTGAGTGGAAGGGGGGGGAGACATGATGGGTCTCATGGAAGCAGTATTTCGTTTTTTTCAGTACATGCCTGGAAATTGCTTCCATTAGCCACATCTACTAGCCTGGCAAGGTGAGTGGTATTTACAAAAAGAAAATGAAAATAAGAAAGAAAAGGCAAGACTAGAAGACTAGTGTTGTCATGGAGTTCAGCTGGGATATCAGTTCTGAAGTCAGTCTCCTCACCTGATTCAAGACTTTTACCCAGGAAGTGAAGTTCACATGAATTTGCTTCAAAATCCACATTCTTCCCATGTCCCGAGCCATAGCTACTTAGAGAGCCCACAGCTGAAGACAGGTTTAAAACATGGATTTCCTAACTGAAGCTCACATTCTTAGCTATTTCACAAACCTAGTCATAAGGAGTTTTCAGAAAGATCGCTACATCAGGGCTGGTACACCACATCAGGCAGTGCCCATCTTTCCGCAGCTGTTCACGGAACAGTGGGTGAAAAATACCGATCTACCCATAGCACCAAAATATTTGAGCTGTATACAGAAAATGTCATCTTCTTGAAAAAGTGAGAATTCCGCCCCCCATCCAACCCAAACTACTCAAGAAATGTAAAATTAGAGAGTAGCAGAATGCTACGTTAGGGCATGATCAGACAGCAGACAACAATTTTGTCTGATCACACTTTGAAGGGGCAGCTCTCCTGGGAACCATCTTCCTTAAAGGGACCCTACTGTCTGGGCAGGAATTGTTCCAGCCTGCCCTCCAAAAAAGAATAGCTCTGATGCTGGACCAAAAAGGTCCAACATGAGCACGGATCAGATTCCGGCTTCATTGCTATTGCCCATGTGTGGTGCAATCATGGGCAAATAGTTTGCACATGCCACAAACAGTCCAAAATGCAAATGCAATCTGATTGTACCCTTAGTCTGTTTAAACCCCTGAACAAAACGAAAAAAGTATTTTGGTGCTTCTAAAACAGAGCTTTTGTAAATTACAGTTCTTCAGATACAAGTTGTTGATCAGTCTGTTTTTAAGCTTAAGACTAGATTTTAAAAATTATGATCAACCTATACACACTATTAAAAGCCAAGCATGTACGACATTTCTGAAGAAAGCCTTAAATGTGTCACAGTACTTTTGTTTCTCCTTTTGCCTATGTTTTGTTTTTGATTTAGGACCTTTGTGTGTTTTTACTAATGAGGTAAACCAGCTTAGAAGCCAGCATTATCAAAATACCTGATAGCTATTGCTGTTGCTCCTAACCATAAGCGGTAGAAAATTCTATCATTCACTATCAAAACCACTATCCACTGCCCTCACACTGTGGGCTTCTGAAGTGCTATTACACAACTTTTTTAAAAATTAAAATCACAAGGGATATTTCAATGTAAAGTCTACATGGCAGTCTGGCAGCAGTGGTGTCCTTTCTGGCATTGCTTTTTCAAATGAAAAAGCCCTAGAGGTGATCAAGAGAAGAGCAAACTTGGTAACTGCTGTTAGCAGTACATGCCACAGCTATTTTCTCCAGTAAACAAAAGACTGGTTGATTTACAGAATAGTGACACCCTTTCTCCTTTGATTTTTCCACATCATCTCCCACAGTAATATACTGCTCTGTCTGATTTTCTGGACAATTTCCCTTATAATGGAAACTCAATACCATTGATGCTAATTAAATATAACCACATACTGTAACAACAAGCATCCTTATGTACTCATCTCATAAAGATGGCCTGTTTGATCAGAACTGAGGCATTTTACTTCTTTAATGAAAACAGAAAATCTATGTACAGGAATGTGAAAGGTGAATATAGGGATGAACTCACAAAAACATTTTTGTTTGTTTTTTCATTTAGAACTGGTCAGCAACTATTGTACGGGAAGAGTCCTGGACTGCAGCTTCAATCATCCTTACAAGCCCCCCCCCCCAAATCTGGTTTGTAAGGACAGACGGAGACCAATCCAGCACTCTCCACAGCTCTTCATAGTTCTGTTGCTTCAGAGTTGGCAAGTGAAAAAGTGGAGGGAGCATGTGGTAATTTTTGGGTTGACAAATTTGGCCCTTGGCCCTCCAGATGCCAATTCCAAGTTTAGGGATAAGCAAGAACTGAAAGACACCAAAACCTGTTTCTTAAATCCTGTTTGATAGCAGCTGTCTAGCCTAGCATATTAGTACCAGACCTTAAAATGTTATTTTTCTTACCTATAGCAAACAAAATTCCCCAACCAGTATGCCCATGGGGGAATTCAGAGAATTGTAGTTGAAAGTAATTTGTCCAAGCTTTGCTTAGAAGTGAACTGAAAAAGAGTGGAAAGCTGTTGAAGAAGAGTAGTACAAAGATTTCATTGACTCTGTTTATCATCCAAGGTGCTTCTGCTAGTTACTGATTTACTACTTAGACTCTCAACTTTGTCACAGTTTATGACTGGCTTGCAGGTGGGTCAGAAGTGAGAAGCCACCTCAGGTAATAGTTGCAGAGCACAATTACCCTGCTTAAGGTATCGGTCTCTACCTTCTGAGTGTTGCCTTTAGTGTCAGTATCAGAGACACAGAATCAGTGTGACGAAGTTAAAGTGACTCCTTTGAAACTTTATTTGAATAAAAGGGACTTTTCATCCAGACTTTCCACACTTCTGTGTCTATCCCCAAATACTTGTTTATACGGCATCAGAATGGCTGACAAGAAAACAAGAACACCGAATGAGAGACTCCTATCAGACTTCTCGCTGCAAAAAAACACCTGCAGGCAGCTTTGGATGTTCCCCCTCCTCCCTTCTGTCTTCTCCTCCTGTATGGCTAAAAAAAGGAAGATAAGAAGTGTTTCCTTCTAGAATGTAGTGTTATATCTGAAACTTAAACTATGGTTTAAAATCAACTGTGGTTTGTTTAATCAAGCAAGTTTACAGTTAGCATGTTTTAAACAAGTCACAGTTAAGATTCACCATAGTTTATTCATTTCCAACAATGTGAGAAGCAGTGTTCAAGTGACAACAGAAAGAAAACCTTCCAAGTTCCGCTTTGTGGCCATGCTGGAAGAAGTTGGACAGGAAGAGAACTGTGAGATTCACTGCAGCTCACGACCACTAGGCTGAATGAGGATTTAATGCACAGTCAAGTGGGCACCTTCCATATGCTTTGGACTACACTCACCACAAACCTCAGCCAATCTGGCAATGGCCAGAAATTAAGCAAAGTGTGGTTCAAAAATGTCTGAAGAACACCGGATTGCCTCCCTACGGCTTAGAATGATGTGTGAACCAACCCAATCAAAGGAAATAACTTTGGCAGGTATCGCCCCTAAATTTATGGAGGTAAGCTATAAAGAACTGTTGACCTCTGAACAGCTATTTCCTTTTTGGAACGTTGATCTTCTTTATTTCTGCAGTATTGTTTTACGTACCAAATCTGGCTTGAGTCTGAAGGTCAAAGGAAGAGAGGAAAACATGGAATGCAAAGTTGTAAGCGCTGAAGAGCTCCATGACTGATGGATTTCCCGGCTTCTGGGAATGCGGTGGAGGGTGAACTTGGAAAAACAAGAAGAGAAATTGACAGATTTACTTAGAAGAAATCATTCTGCTGATCCATATTTCAGTTAATTTTCTCCTGCTGCGATAGTCTGATAAAATTCTGGTTCACACAAGCAAGTTCAAACCTAGCAGGAGGCCCTAGTGGACTGGATGTATTTTTTTGCTTGACCCAGTCCAAGACATTTTACTGCTTGACGTAACGGGGCCTCCTACCAATTCCATGCACAAAAGTCCATTAGATTGGCAGTTGAATTCTATACCAATTCTGAAGACAGCAGAAACACTTAAGGAGACATGTGGCAAGCTACACAGCACATATTGCTCCTGGCACACAATGCTGCCACTTCCTAAGCAACTGCTGCCTGATAAAACAGCCTCAATAGTGGTCCCTGCTATTTTGAATGGACTCCAGATTGCACCCTGTTAGTATATTCCACAGGAGCTATTTATGTGTGCAAAATATATCATATGAGCACTAAGCTTTCATTATTGTTCTCTCAAAGCATTATATGATCTGTTTTAAATTCTAGCAAAATATAAGTGGGTTAGTGATTTAGTTGCGGCGCTAAGAACAAGATCCCAGTAGGAAAAAAAGTTAGGGATCATGGACAGGGTTTAACAGCTTGCTTAGTAGCCAAAGCCAGCTGGGTATCTCAGTGTGTTGGAGTACATAGCTGTGAAGATGGGATCTAGAGTTTGATTCCCCACTGGGTCTCCTGGGAGAAGAGCCAACTTGTGTGGTCATGGGCAAGCTGCACAATCCCACACAACCCTAGAAGAAGGGAATTGTAAACAACTTGAGTAATCCCTACCTAGAAGACCCTGAAAAGGGTTGCCGTAAATTGGAATCAATTTGATGGCATGGTGTTTTTAATTCTACTAGCCAAAGGAAAGAAAACATTTTCATAGAGATAAAGAAAGTGAGCCAGCAACAGAGAGACAGACCTCTACATGCCTGCTCTGTCAGTCTTAGTATTTTGTGCAGGGCATGGAATAAGACGGGGTGGGCACCACATAGCCTACATACATCACATCCCTGCATATTTTGCCACCTCTGCTGTCCCCACTTTTTTCTGTTCCAGTTGCTATACCACCACAGCAAAACACCAACATTTGGCGTTGTGGCAAGAATGAAGACTTTCCTTCTTCCCCTTTCCTCCTAGGAAGGAAAGTGACATAACCACCCTTCCACAAAGCTCTAGTGGTGGTAGTCTGTGCCTTTTGACACCCTTCTGTACCACAGAGAACTGCCACAATGGCCACGGGCTTCCAGGTGCAACTTCTGCAGTGCTGCTTGCCAAATTCAGGTTACTGGGGCTGAATTCCAGTTCCAGAAAAATCCAATGACAAGGCAGCAATCCATGAAGGAGATTGCTGGGGCTCAATTCCAGTTCCAGGTTACTGGGGCTCAATTCCAGTTCCAGAAAAAACCAATATGAATTTGTTGGCCAGAGGCAGCCCACCCCTGAAGTAAAGAAAGGATATTCCTTAGCCCCATTGTGCCTCCACTAGCTGCCTAGGGAGAAAGCAATTCCCCTGCCCTAAAAGCTTGTTAAGACGCTGCGGTTTCTGTGGCAGCCATGAGGGATGTGCTCCCCAATCTCTTCTCTGTACTCAACATGGACATGTAGGAAAAATATATATGTTAGTGAGTTTTACGGGCTTCTTAGAAGACTGGCACTGATAAACTACACTGGATTGTAGACACCCCCACCTCATTTAAACAGAGCTGAAATACGTAGCTTGCTCAGTGTATGAATTATTATCTAAGCTCTCCATCCTGTGGACAACAGTGTGTACTGCTTCGTTGTTGTTGCATACTGCTATCAAGCAGCTTCCAACATATTGGCTGACCCTATGAATAACTTCCAAAAATTCCTGTCAGATGTTGCAAACTAAAGTCTACACTTTTCTTTCTTGAGTCAATAAATCCAATTCAAACCCAACTTTGTGCTGTTTTTAGCAACAGATTAAAAAGGGAGGGGTGGGCCTCATGCTTTTCTTTCCAGCTGTAACATACATTAACAAGGAATTTAAAAAATGTGTTTCTGGACACATTTTGAACCTGGGAATTTGTTTTCAGTACCAGAACTGAACTGTGCAGTGTTTTTGCATGGAAGCCCATTCATGGTTACCTTTAAGCTCTTTTCATTTCAGCAACTCTTTACTTTACTTTTATTGAATTTATACCCCACCCCTCTAGACAAAGTCTAAAGGGGCGGCTTACATGAATAAACAAGATAAAATAACATACATAGTGAAACCTAAAATCAAGTGTCTATATATCTACATTATCAAGATGGAAATAGTTAAGAAACAGCAACAGAAAATAAATTAATTGACTGGAGGGAAGGCCTGCCTAAAGAGCCAAGTTTTTAAACTCTGTTGAGGCCAAAAAAGTTATTTTGGTATTCTGCTGTTAAGACACTGGCTGCATAGCTCAGTGAGTTGGGTGACTGACTGTGGAGCCCTAGAGTGATTCCTCACTATGCCTCTTGGGAGAAAGGTCCAGCCTATGTATCATGGGGCACGCTGCACAGTCCCCCAGAGCGCTCTCAGAGGAAGGGAATGGTAAACCCTTTCTGAGTACTTTTATACCTAGAAAACCCTGGAAAGGGTCGCTATAAATCAGAATTTACTTGAGTACACATATCACATTGTTGATACATGATCATTATTATTTGTACCACTGATAGCTTCATCTTCCCTAGACAGCCCTTGGTCATGTATAGAAATACGAAGGATGAATGGGATCATGAAGTCCCAGTTGTAAACTGCAAGTTCCTCCAAGTAGAACTCTATTAATTTGCCAATATTTCTTTATCCACATACTGGGATGCTCAAGCCAACATTGGCATGCCCAAGAAACACAACTGTGTAGTAGCTGTCAATGTCCTGTTCCCCTGTATGATATAACTGGGCCGGATCACAGGCACCCCATGAGGAATGAAGAAATTCAGGGTGGGAGACACAAGATTGTAAAATTTTTGTTGTCCTTCACATTCAATTTGTTTTGATTTTGCTATTTCTAAAGTTACATTACATAGTTGTTAAGACGCTGCTTACTAACATTCTGTGAAAAGAAAAAAGATACGTGCTTATTTTGATAATAAAAAATATTGATCACATTTTTATGTTTTTTAAATTTAATTTTTTAAAAATATATTTTTACTCTGGATCTTTAAAAGAGACGAGGGAAGGCATTCAAGGAATTTTTAAAGAGGGAATGATGCTCCCAAATGTAGGAACAGATCATATAGAAAATTTCAAGATGAACAAGTTTCAAATGTTTGCTCCAAATGAAGTGAGTGTCCTATCTCTGCATGCATGCATGCATGCATGCATGCATGCATGCATGCATGCATGCATGCATGCATGCATGCATGCATGCATGCATGCATGCATGCATGCATGCATGCATGCATGCATGCATGCATGCATGCATGCATGCATGCATGCATGCATGCATGCATGCATGCATGCATGCATGCATGCATGCATGCATGCATGCATGCATGCATGCATGCATGCATGCATGCATGCATGCATGCATGCATGCATGCATGCATGCATGTATGTATGTATGTATGTATGCATGTAGTTAGTTAGTTAGTTAGTTAGTAACCTGCAATGGACTTTTCCTCGAGAGATCTGTCCAATTCCCTTTTAAAGGCATCTAGGTCAGATGTCATCACCACATCTTGTGGCAAGGAGTTCCACAGGGTAAAGAAATCTTTTCTTTTGTCTGTTCTTACTCTCCCAACACTCAATTTGCGTGGATGTCCCCTGGTTCTGGTATTGAGTGAGAGGGAAAAGAGCTTCCCTCTATCCATTTTATCCATCCATTGCATAATTGTATACATCTCAATCATGTCCTCTATCAGGTGCCTTTTCTCTAAAGAGCCCCAAACATTGTAGCCTTTCCTCACAAGGGAGGCGCCCCAGCCCAGTCATCATTTTAGTTGCTCTCTTCTGCACCTTTTTCAGTTCCACAATGTCTTTCTTGAGGTGCAGCAACCAGAGCTGTACACAATACTCCAGGTGTGGCCTTACCAGTGTTTTGTGCAATGGCATTATAATGTTGGCTGTTTTATGATGGAGTCAGACCTGCCTTCCATCTCCATTCTGCTGGACTCTATCCCTTCTTTGACATAGATGGCCACCCCACCTCCAACATGCCCCTCCCTATCCCTCCTATAGTGTTTATAGCCTGGGATTGCCATATCCCACTGGTTCTCTGAATTCCACCAGGTTTCCGTTATGGCCACTATATCAATGTTATCCCTAGCCACCAAATTTTCCAGCTCTCCCATCTTTGCTTGGACGCTTTGGGTATCTGTATAAAAGCACCTGCGTATGGGCCCCCCCAAGAAGGGCTGCTTGTTTGTTTCTTTCCCCCCCCACAGTTTCTCTTTCTAGTGGACCAACCATCACGTCCCATCACACTCCCAGTCCTAATTCCTACACTGACGTCAATTTGTGGTTTTCTACCCTCAACCTCAAGCTGGCTACCTGAGCCCATCAGAATCAAACTTAGGTCATAAGCAGAGTCTTGGCTGCAGCGCTGCAGTTTAACCACTGTGCCCCCCAAGAAAGGGCTGCTTGTTTGTTTCTTTCCCCCCCACAGTTTCTCTTTCCAGTGGGCCAACTATCATGTCCCATCACAATCTAACATTCATGCACTGGTATCTTAACCTCTGTACTGGAAGAGGCTCCCCAAAGAATTTTTCCTATTGAACTTTCATTGTTTTAAAACTACTTTTATCATAGCTTAGCTATATTGTAAGCTGTCCTGAAAAGAAAAATATTTGGCCTAGAAAAGCAATACTTAAATAAAGAAGCAAATCAATAGCAGTGCTCATAGGTTTATCCCATGCATTGTGCAATCATAGGTATTCTGTCTTGGAACGTGAATTTTTTTCCATCCTACAGGATAAGGCCTAATTTTTATCTTTTTAAAGTAACCAGACAATGGATGATGCCTTGGCTCCCTGCT